CCCGCTCTATTTTTCTACCTGAAAACTTAATTCAACAGCAGCCTCTGGGCCGGGTCGCCTCCAGGTTCACCGCGTCGGCTGGCAGGTGTTTTTTCATCTAAATAATCTAAATCTTGCAGCTATATTTGCTGTGATCAGTTGGAATAAAGTAGTTTTAATATCTTTTTAAGTGAGAAAGTCCACCTGAAAACTTAATCATTGCAGTCAGTTCATCCAGATTATAATCCTGCCTATACTATTTCTGTCTGAGGCGCTCAGACCCCCACATACCAGCGGTACACTGACAGTAGAAATTCATTCAACAGCAGCCTCTAGGCCGGGTAGCCTCCGGGTTCACCGCGGTGGCTGGCAGGTGTTTTTCATCTAAATGATTTAAACTGCAGGCACCAGGATACCAGTAATCAAAGCGAACATATTCCGTCGGCAGGTTTCAAAATTTTATGTTAAATTAGGAGTGATCACAGCGCTCTGTCATCAGCGATGTGTCTGTCTCAAGGCCAGCACGTAGGTTTGATTAATACTTTGTAATAAATACATGAATAAAGCACATTCATACTCAGTTTTGCTCCCGCTCTATTTTTAAATACGCAGTAGAGGTATTTAAACAGTATTTATGAAAAATGGTTAAAACACTAAAAGCATTCTTAAATTCGCTGTTTAATTTCTTATTTAGGGCCAGGACAGGAATTGAAACTCGGACTTCCTGGAACGCACCAATTATGTGGGAGTCGATGTTTGATGGCAGTCTTTATGACCAAATGCACAAGGAAGCAAATACAGCAGTGGCCCTCACCGTTTTTGCAGTTGGAAGGTTTGTTTCTCTGCAGTTAACATTACTCATTCATTTACAGCTCTTCTTCTAACATCCAACAAAAATGGGTACAAATACATCTCTTCTTAAAGGCTGTGTTATTTTCACTTCTGTTTGTAAAAGCACTTATACATGTATAATATTATTTTTTCTTTCTGCTGATCATCTGTACTCTGACATACTCTTCACATGTCTTCTGTTTTCACTGAAGGTATCTGGAGGCTTATCTCAACAAGTTCCTGACCTCAGCTGAAGAACATTTTATGGTGGGGTTAAAGGTGACATTTTTTGTGTTTACGGATTCACCAGAGAAGGTACCAGAAATTAGCTTTGCACCTCAGCGAAATCTCAAAGTTGTCAAGGTAGAAAAGTACAACCGGTGGCAAGATATCTCTATGATGCGAATGAAAACGATATCTGAAATAATCGACACAGTCCTCAAGCACAACTTCACTTATGTCTTCTGCTTTGATGTGGATCAGATATTTACAGCAAGATTTGGCTCTGAAGCTCTTGGGGAGTCGGTGGCTCTACTTCATGCTCACTATTACAAACTACCAAAGTACAGGTTCACATATGACAGGAATCCAAAATCCAAAGCTTGCATGACTGAAGGTGATTACTACTACCATGCTGCAATTTTTGGAGGAACTTGTGAAAAAGTAAAGGCTTTGGCAGATTACTGTTACTTGAACATCATGGAGGACAAAATGAATGATGTGGAGGCTTTATGGCATGATGAAAGTCACTTAAACAAGTACTTTTGGCTAAATAAACCTACTAAGTTGCTCTCGCCCGAGTACTGCTGGGACAGAAGTCTCCCTAATAATGACATACTCATCGAGCGCCTAATATGGGCTCCAAAAGATTATGAAAAGCTTCGTACTCGGTAATGTGCGCACAAACTTTTTAATATGATATTGGGAAGGAAAATAAATGTTTACGAAATGTGATGTTGGGTTATCCAATAAATGTACACCTTGAAAACCTTAACTCTTGTTGCTAGCTTGCAAATGATTCTCAAACTTTACATCTTGTAGTATAGTTGACTTTACTCATCAGGTGATGTATGACATTACTCATTCAAACATTTTCTTACACCAAAAGCACTTTACAGGATTAGAAAATACATTTAAAATTTCAGTGAAAATACTCAATCATAAAAAAAAAAGAAATTAACCAAATATGAAATAAAATGAGATCCAGTTAAATCACAGAAAAAGTTAAAGTTAACATCATGCAACATTTAAATATACAGTCCCAAAAAGTGTAAGAAAAAACTTTTAAGTTGGGGTTTTAAATTAAATTTAAAGTGGCCCACCTTTAGCTTTGCATTAAGACCTGGTATTTACATGGTCTGAAACGTAGATTTTTTTTTTCCAACATCACTTTATTAAGCACTTTAAAAACCAAAGCGTTGTACATGTATGTAAGGACTAAAAGGAAAATGTTTATAAAATAGAATGAAAAAACAATAAAATGAAGTACAAGGTTGACAAAAGTCAAAAAAGGTAAACCAGATAGTTGTGCTGTTTGAAATTAAAAGTTGGAGACTTGAGTTTTTAAAAGGTAGACTGTTCCATACTGGTGCTGGGATTAATGAAGGAGGTAGGAAAAGGAAGTAAGGTGCTTTCTTGTGATTTAGCAAAGGGACTACCCCATGTGAGTGTGGCTAATCTCTATGAAGTTTATTTAGATCCAGAGGTGATGTGAGATATATATATATATATATATATAT